GCTATCTCTTGCCCTTCATCAGTCACTTAATGAGTCATCAGTTTTATAGAGGGAATCTAAAGGTTGGGAAGTAATAAGGATGTTGAGTTCTTGCCCTGATACCATGTGCCCTGATCTAATGAAATGAAGGGAAATCAAAGGTTCATAGGAGCAAGGTCATCAACTGTGTCCAAGGTAAATTTTGCTAGTAAAGTATTTCCTTTTCACTTGTTGCTATCCTAGGACTTAGACTTAGATAGACACCACTTTATATGAATATGTTTTATTTTCCTCTCATGAAACACCACTAGTGGACCTAAACAACTATGACTTTTTAAAAACTCAGGTTCTTTGTCATACATCCTTTGTTGTATAAACAACTGGTCACCCAATTATCTATTTTATCACCATTAAAACAGTAAAGTTTAGAAAGTATGAACTATATAGATGCTGCATAATTATACCATATGAGGCTTTGTCGTGTGTGCTCATACAGTGAAAATGCACTCCACAGTGGGAGCTCATGTAAACAAGAATATTTTCATTCAAATCCAATACACCATCACCACATTCAATTAAATTAACTAACTATAGTTTCCAAAAATAATTTCAAATGGACTGTATTTTCAAATTTTTCAAAAATACTTTATAGACTTTATATGCCACAAATTAGGTTCTTTGAAAAGTATCACCATCTTCAATATGCCTAATAACAAAGAATTTTAGAACTTTTTATTGATTGTGTCTGAGTTTTCAAACTTCTGCTGTAGAATTTCTTAGACAATCATATTGTCCTCTGTAAGTCTAAGTGTTTATGTAGTTATATAGTGGTGTTCCTCTAAGTATTGATGTACAATTCTTGTCATAGCTCTTTCATCTCATCAGTCTTTCTGGAATATTTCCAATATTTTCCTCTTTCAAAAAAAACTTCTTCCAGTGATCATATCTATTTTTTCAGTTTCTGTTTCATTGATTTTCAACTATTCTCTCTTCAACATTGTTATAAGAATTTGGGGAAATACCTTATGGGTCACCAAGTGACATAAAGGAAATTAAGGTCACATTTTGGGATTCCTTGTGTCATTCATTTAAGAATGGACTCAAAGAACAGGAAGATCAATGATAATTTAAACTTTGAAAGTAAAAAATCCCTTGGGCAGATGCTGTGGGATGGTCTGTATGTCAAATTGCTCTGATTAGTCAATAAATAAAACACCGATTGGCCAGTGGCTAGGCAGGAAGTATAGGCAGGACTAACAGAGAGGAGAAAAGAAAGAACAGGAAGGCGGAAGGAGTCACTGCCAGCCACTGCAATGACAAGCAGCATGTGAAGATGCCGATAAGCCATGAGCCACGTGGCAAAGTATAGATTTATGGAAATGGATTAATTTAAGCTATAAGAACAGTTAGCAAGAAGCCTTCCATGGCCATACAGTTTGTAAGCAATATAAGTCTCTGTGTTTACTTGGTTGGGTCTGAGCAGCTCTGGGACTGGAGGGTGACAAAGATTTGTCTTGACTGTGTGCAAGGCAGGAAAACTCTAGCTAAAGGCAGACAGGCTCTGAATCTTATCAGATCTCAGAGGTTGATAATGTAGGAAAGAATGGGAAAACAAAAAACAGATACAAAGAAAACACTCCCATGCTGTTCTAGCCAACATAGAGTCCAGACACCTGGTGAACAACTGGAGGAGAGGGAGCTCTAGAAAAACAGTGGTGCAGCCCATAGTACCAGATAAAGCAAGCTTGGGTTCTGGCAAGCCCTGAAAAAAGATAGATGAACTACTTTGCAGCTCAGCTTGGAAGAATTGTACTGGAGGAAGGAGGAATACTGGCAACAAAAATGGCAGCATCTCCTTGAAGGAATAATTATTCTGCCTCTTTATTTATCATGACTTATGTTTAAATCCCTTCCCATGGCTCAAGTTGTGATTCTATTTTCTTCTCTCTCTCTCTCTCTCTCTCTCTCTCTTTCTTTTTTTGTTTTTTTTTTTTTTGGTTTTTCGAGACAGGGTTTCTCTGCGTAGCTTTGCGCCTTTCCTGGAGCTCACTTGGTAGCCCAGGCTGGCCTCGAACTCACGGAGATCCGCCTGGCTCTGCCTCCCGAGTGCTGGGATTAAAGGCGTGCGCCACCACCGCCCGGCCTTTTGTTTGTTTTTTGAGACAGGATTTCTCCATGTAGTTTTGGTGCCTGTCCTAGATCTCATTCTGTAGACCAGGCTTGCCTTGAACTCACAGAGATGTACCTAGCTCTGCTTCCTGATTATTGGGATTAAAGGCATGTGCCACCACTGCCCAGCCAAGATTCCATTTTCTTTTCTTTCTTTTTTTTTTTTGGAGGGGGTGGTTTGAGACAGGATTTCTCTGTGTAGCTTTGTGCCTTTCCAGGATCTCTCTGTGTAGACCAGACTGGCCTTGAACTCACAGAGATCCATCTGCCTCTGTCTCCCAAGTGCTGGGATTAAAGGCATGCACCACCACTGCCTGGCACCATTTTCTTGATGTGAAGATTACTTAGGTTTTTGTTGCTGCTCTAAAAATAGTATTTCCTTCATTCTCTTTGCTCCTGGTTTAGTTTGGTCTTGTTGGTTTCCTTGAAGTGGGAGACAATTCACTTCAATGCTTCAAGCAAAAGAATTACCTTTCTATGGATAACTATTGTCTACCATTTAACTTAAACACCTCTACCACAAGCCCTGGGAACAATGACCATTAGTGCTGGGATCTTCAATGACAGACATTTCAGTAATCACATTCCAAATTCTCTTGTTTGAGTGTATTATCCAGATGACTCTTCCATGTCAGAATCACCAGGAAGTATTCTATGATGAAAGTGGGAAGGCAGGCCTTTCCGGAACACTGGATATCAACACAGGTATGAAAGAGCCATGGGATCATAGTGCAGGGACAACAAAAGGAACAGCAACTCCTCAGAGAGCTGGAGCATGGGATGGCCACTGAGAATTCCTTCAGGCTGAAGAGGATGGAAGAGGCAATAATTCCTATCTCCACTTGGCTGCATCAAGTTGGATGTTTGTTTCTTCCTAAGGCACTATCAAGACCATTTTGATCCTTGTTTATTTTGTCTTTGTTGTTATTTGTTTATTTGTGTTTTCAGGCAATGTTATGGTTTTATTTTAAACTCAGCCAAAGTGTTGTTTAACTTGCAATTCCAGGATGCACAAGGAAAGTAAATTCAGAAACTCAAGCATCATACCCACAGTCAAAAGCAGAGAAAAGCAAAGGCAATCATATCATGTGTTTGCTGTGTGATGTTCACCTAGCTTTCTTTCCTCTTCTTACACAGTATGGAGCTCTGTGTCTAATGGAATGGTGCCACCCACACTCAGAGTGGTGCTTACCATCTCAATTAACAGGCAAGACAATGCTCCACACACCCACCAACAGGTCAATTATATCTACACAATTCCTTAGCTGAAATGCTCTTCCTAGGCAATTCTAGGTTGTGGCAAGTGGACGTTTAAAACTATTATGGACAGTGTCTCAGGAAACCTGTGTTAGTAAGAACTCACACTTCTGATCCTCTTGTTTTCTCATTCCAAGTGTTGAGATTATAGGCATTGGCTACTAAACAGGTTGTTTGTTTTCATTGTTGTTGTTGTTGTTGTTATTGTGCTGGGCATTTAACCTAGGAACCCAATCTAACCTTACCTTACATGGTAGGCAAACACTAGAGCAAATGGGCAACCTAACCAACCTATTTTTATTCCTAAGACTGAATTTTAACTTTTGATTAATTTGAAAATTAAAAATACCATTTCCTGAACAACAGAAATATTTTAGAAGGCATGGACACTAGGATGGACTTGGGTTGTATGATGGCTGAGGCACCAAACCATGACATCTCTTCTCATAGACTCATCTATAGAATTTTTGTCCCTCATCTGCATGTTCAGCAAGTGGTTTGATCAGGCTGTTTGCTACTTTAACAGGCTCCCTTACCCCAAGAATCTGGATTTTTTTCCAGTATGCTTTTATCTAAACAAGGCACTCTGTCAACTCTTTCTCTCAATGGATCATCTTCATGTACATGTCCTGTTATCACATGTACAGTTATTCCTGTGTAATTGAGAGACTGAATCTGTCATGGGCATCTAAGGACAGTGTTCCAGGGATCACCCAAAATACCAGCAGTAACAAGCTTTTCTAGATCCCACTAACCTTGTGACCCTTTCTCCAGATCAGATTCCCCATTAAAGAGTGAATAATAATTTGTAAACACCAATAGTTCATTCTACATCAAACTATAAGTGAACATGACCCAGGAACACAGATTTAGGTCACATCAAAGGCCACTGTGGAAAAACTTTTATGCAAATTTTGTAGGAACAGAACAAAGAGAGTCATAAATCAAGACACGTTCACAATACATTAGTGAAAACATGGAAGAGATGGGTTACAACACAACAGAGAACCCTATTAGAGGCTTCAGATGCTGTCCTGTCTGATAACATGCTTAGCATCTGGATTGGTGGAAGCTAATGTTCTGCTAAGGTAGCAATTTCTAAAACAAAACTAATATTCTGCTTGTACATTCCAAAGTATTTATTATTATGTCAAGTACAGAAAAAACCAATATATGCCTACTAAGAGGGATAAATATGGTCTAAGATAATTTGGCTCTGGACCTAAAACATGCCAAACTTTCTAATTCATTGAATTTCAAAAAGTTAATAATCATTAAAAAAGGTTCAGTTTGAAGGCTCAGCTTTTTTATGAGAACATTTGTTTGTAAAACCAAGTGCTATGTGGCACTGAATACAAATTCTTATACAATCTCTCTAGGAGGGCACCTTGGTGACCTGTGGCAGGGCCAACAGGGAACTTGAAATCTCTTTACCATATTTTCTGCTTTGAAGTATTGAAGCTGGGATAGGGCACAGATACAAACTCCTTAGAGATTTGATGGGCTCAGGAGTCCAAAGATGGTCCAGGTAAACATTCCCGATGATAAACTCCTTGTATGCTCTCTAATGGTTCCTGTTACCACTTGATTTCCAGAACTGAAGACATCAGATACTACTAAAGTCCTTGTAGCTCTGCTCCTTGGACCCAAACTGCTACTGGTAATTGGTACCTTTGCCATCTACTTGCACAAGAAGCAGAAGGCCTGACTGTAAGTTAGGAGGGCTGGAGGGTGTATTAGTTACTATTCTGTTGATGTGAGAACACACCAAGATGAAAACAACTTATAGAGAAAAAGTGTTTATTTGGTGGTACTGTTCCAGACACATATAAGTCAGCAAACCTGAGAGTCATGAAAGACAGAGCAGGGAGTGAAGAGCTCAATTCCCAAGTGGAGCAGATGAAACAGAGAAAATAAACTGGAAGTGTCACAAGGCTTTATAATATTAAAGCTCACCTCCTGTGACACACTTTCCCTGCAAAGGCTGTATGACCTAAGCCCCTCCAAACAGTACCACCAACTGGGAACAATGTATTCAAATATCCTAGAATATAGAAAATATTTCTTATTCAAACTACCAGGGGGATACCAGTCTGTGGGCTAACATAGAAGGGGCAGGATCAGTAGAAGGGCCAAGGCATTTGTCAAACAGTTTTAGCATCTGTGGTGATGACATATGACTGAGGATCCCCAGGAATATCTTAGAACCCTTTGAGACACCCCCATCCCAAGCTCCCAGGAAGTATGTGTGTCTTGCAGGAAGGATTCAGTCAAGCATCAATAAAGGTGCTCCCAGAGGCCTAGGGGATATGAAGGACAGAGTCCTTTGAGTAGGATGTGTGGTATTGGCCTCAATGCTCCTGTTGGAATTCACCACAGTAAGTGAAAGGCAGGGGTCCTTGAAAAATAAGAATCTATGTTATGGACCAATTTTTAGAAGTTGTAGAGTCCTGTAATAAGGACTGTTTCTGCTTTGGCCTCTCTGTGATGGGATCATGAAGAATTGACTCAGAAAGACTGTATGACTTAGGAACTAGACTGAGATGACACTTTTATGACATGGGCATCTCATCCACTCAGGACAAGAGGAGAGCAGTACCAGGGACATTGTAGCACTAAGGTAAATGTTTACATTATGAAAGGATTATTTAATGAGAGGTTATTCTCTACAGCTCTTCTCTTCATCTTCTGCCATATTGGACCTTGAGTATCTGATATCACCTTTCTTGGAGGAACTTAGCCTACTAGAACCTGGTGGGAAGCTGTGGAAGTTGCTGCAAATGTCTCCCTTACAAGGACAACTCCAACTCAGAATTCCCTGTTGTTCCTCTACATAAGCATTGACAGTTCAGAGCTGTGATGCTGTGAATATTGGGATCTGTTCTCAGGAATATCAATCTCATTAATAAAAGAATTTAAGAATGGACTCAAGTGAAAGTTCAAACAGAATTTATTCAAGTTATGAGGGAAAATTCCAAGTTCAGGCAAGTATACAACTCTGCAACCTCACAGAGGAGGAGAATGGAGGAGTAAAGGGAAAATATAGTCATATTGTTTCAGAAGACACAGAGGTCATATATATAGTGAACAATATTAAGAGCTGCTGGTAGCAGGCCGGGCGGTGGTGGCGCACGCCTTTAATCCCAGCACTCGGGAGGCAGAGGCAGGCGGATCTCTGTGAGTTCGAGGCCAGCCTGGACTACCAAGTGAGTCCCAGGAAAGGCGCAAAGCTACACAGAGAAACCCTGTCTCGAAAAACCAAAAAAAAAAAAAAAAAGAGCTGCTGGTAGCAAAAGTCCATGAGAGTATACAACAGTGACAACTAGAGTTCAAAAGGTCAAACTATCAGAACTAAGGGTTCTGTTAGAGGAAACCATTACGCAAGGTGTTATGAAATTCCTGCCTTTTGAATGAATTGGCTGTTTCTTGTTGTAGACTTCTTGTGCAATAATGGTCATGATTCTCCCCATTTACCGTGCATTTCCATGTTATGTGTACATGTAATCTCATGATTGCATTTCAATCTTGGGCACAACGTTCCATATACATTTGGGGTAATTGGACAACTGTCCCCAGCTGTGTTTATTTTTCATTAACACATATCTGGCCAGGTTCATTCTCCAGACAAAAGTATTTCAGCAAAGATACCTTTTTTCCAAGGACAAATTCAGAGAAATAAACATTAGCTCATCTCACCCACAGATAGAGAAAAGAACCAATAACAATTAAATCCTCAACCCCTTACCTTCACCCCGGGTTATTTACACAGGACCCTAATTTAAGAGATTTACTGCTCATATTCCTGGGATAATGTTTTAGCCATTTGCTAGATACTGAGTTAAGGCAGTTACTTCTCACTGACCCAAGGAGATTGCTGGAAAGGCCAGGCAGGTGATAGGTGCCAAACTTCTTTCTTATGCAAATTGCTTTTATTTATCCTCAGCCAGGTGCTATTCCTAGATTTTTTCCTCAGCAATTACTCTGAGTGGAAGTGCTTTTACTAACCAAATACTACATGACGGAGGTCGCTTAGCCACCTAGCATATGTCCCCCTCCCTACCAGAAAGCAGCTGCAGCTGGGACGAGCGGGAAAAGCAGCACCAAAGACAGTTTACTCTCTTGTGACTTACTGACCCCTAACACCTTACCTAGCCATTTCTAGGTTATAGTTTGAGCACATAAATTCCCTAATTGATCTTAGCCTTTAGTTGACCATACCAGAGAACTCCCCTTTAGTCACTCCCCTTTTGGGTTGTAATTGGAAGCTGACAATTGATTGCTTTATGTGTGGGTTCTTATCACCTCTCTCTGAGACCCTGAAAACTTCAAGCCTCACATTGCTTTACTAAGAATTACTGTCTGGGTGTATATACTGGTTCTCTGAGAGCACTGGGAGGATTGATGGAGAAGAACAAAGATGAGGACAGAGATAGAAAGAACTAGGTAGAATGATGAGAGAACAGCAGAAGGGACTGAGAACATGAGAGACTGAAAGCAGGAGGGACTGAGAGCAGGAGGGACTGAGAGGAGCTAAGAGAGCAGAAAAGAAACTGTAGATAGAATCACCATAGAATAATAAAGTGAATGGACTAAAGAACTCAGTGTGCACAGATTCATTCAATAGCCCTCAGATTAGAATCCTCAGCTGGTTGGTAGACTCTTCCACGAACCCTGGGAGCAAACAATATAGGCTGGGCCTATTATTGTTTGCATTAGGACAAACTGCTGCATGGTGAAAAGGTGGCATTTAGAGAAAAAGCTTAAAGTATCAGCAAAGGTATACTTAGATACAGCCAGCATCCAAAATTCAAAAGAATGAGAGAGATAAGAAGAAAAGGGGATAGTTCTTCCTGTCTGATCTGGCCACAGTGAGGTAGGAAGACCAAACAGAACATCAACATAGCATGTGAGGACTGCAATGGGTAGGGAGAATTCTGAGAAGGAATGGGAAGTATATGAATTAATGGGAAATTTTTCTGCTTTTTTTTTCTTGACACAGGGTTATGGTGGTATTTTATTTGTAGCGAAATGTGATTTTATTCATATGTTAATAAATAAAGTTGCCTGGGGGTCAGAGTTAATAGCAAGCCATAGCAGAAATCTGGCAGTGGTAGCACACGCCCTTAATCCTGATCACGTGACAGGAAGATCTCTGTGTGTTGAAGGATACAGCCAGCATGGAGATACATGCCTTTAATCTCAATACCAACCACAGATGACCTGAAGGTCTGTATAGACAGGTAGTGATGAGGAGGTCATATGGTTGGGTTTACAACCAATGAGAAGGCAGAACAGAAAGTCAATAAAAGGACAGACACACAGGAAGTAGGCCTCTTGCTGAGAGGAAGGAAAGCAGCGGCAGTAGGGTAAGAAAGGTTTTTTAGCTCTTAGCTATTGCTCTGACCCCTTGGGCTTTTAACTCTGCTATTGGCTCTGTGTTTCTTATTTAATAAGATAGTTACATCTACACAGGGTCTTGCTATAGATAGCCCTGTATATTACTATGTAGACAAAGCTGACCTTAAACTCATTAAAATCTGCTTGCCTCTGCCTCCTGAGTCCTGGGATTGAATGGGTGCTGCACCATCATGCCTCTCTAGGAAAAATTATTCCAGCTACCCCTTTAGTGTGGTTTAAGAGGATCCTTTGCCTAGGTGATAGACCCTGCCCACCTGGAATGTTAGGTCTTCACCTAGGTCATAGATTCTGTTCTATTAACCATGAGTTCTCTTTAATGGGCCCTACCCTAAAATCTTCCTGAAAATGTAACCCTAAAATCATTTAGGAATGATATCACTATCAGAGCCTACAAATACTTTTGTTATCTCTGGCCTTTGGAAATAACAAGGCTTCCAAAAAGCTCAAGGCCATTTTTGGCTTCTAGAAGAAATAAGAAAATAGATGTTTCTTTGAGGTCTTTTTGACCTAAACATCTTATTCAGTTTTAACCTCTTCTTTTATTTAACATAATTCTTGATTCATTCTTTCAAAATTTTACATCAAGCACCCCAATCCCATTCATGTTCCCGTCTCTCCAAATCTGTCCCTTGCCTCTGCAGTGCCCCCCTCAAAAGAAAATCCTGTAAAAAATGAGTTAAAAAATAGCACAGCCATATCTGAATGGAATGGCAGAAGTCATAAAGCCAGCACAGCTGCTTGACAAAGATCCAGCAAAGCTGGTTTTCATCTCCACCTGTTGCATATTTGTACAATTTGAGGATAGTGGATTGATGGAAAATTTCTTATGAATTATTTATGCCTTCTCCCAGGAATGCTGCTTCTAAGCTTCCCCAGAACAGTCCTGAACATACTATTCCCCCCACTTTTAGGGAGATAATCTTATCTACTTGAAGGTCTTCCTTATGCCTTGGAGGTTGTGACACATGAAGAAGCCAGAGGTCTCTTCGTGAGGCTTCTTGAAACATCTGTCCCTGTACTTACACAGGAACAAGATATTTAAAACAAAGTAAACTCAAAAAGGTCAACAAGATTTGGTTAGAGGAATTATCCATAGTTCAGATTACTAGCCTCTTCCCACTGTACACTCAAACAATTACATGGTATATACTTTTGCCTTACACAGAGATATATTGATGAGCAAAATATGGAGTGGAAAGATGATAAAAAGTATGAGATGTCAGGAAAAGTTAGCACATACAGAGCCACTGTGATGTTATATGACCAAGGAACAACAGAGTGCCAAGGTTAGACTTTTAAACAAATTTTGTAAAGAAACAAATGTGAACATTGTATTATGCCAGAATTTGTATAGTAACTGCAGCAGCTTTGGTCCAAGGATCTTTTTTGGACACTCTGACCATCAAGAGTTAATAATTTGTACCACATTTTATTTATCCATTCTTCAGTTGAAGGGCATCTAGGTTGTTTCCAGGTTCTGGCTATTACAAACAATGCTGTTATGAGCATAGCTGAGCAAGTGCCCTTGTGGTATGATTGAGCATTCCTTGGGTATATGCCCAAGAGTGGTATAGCTGGGTCTTGGGGGAGATTGATTCCCAATTTTC